TCATTCCACGAGGAATAACGGGGCTGCCGACAAAGGGCTTTGATGTCGACAGGGGGAACGTTCAGACTAGCGCGCGAGCCGACAAACAGCTGATCAGCTGTTTGTCGGCTCAGCACGGCAGCCATGTAAATATAAATGAAGCCGCGATCATTTAAATCGCGGCTTCATTTGCCTTTGCCTATGTGTCTAATCTACATGCCTCTGCCGACAGAGGCATGTAGTCTAGACACAGCCTCAGTCTCCCCTCATGGTCCATGTGTTCTAGACCTTTCATCATTCTTATTGCTCTTCTCTGGACCTTCTCCAGTTTCTCCACATCTTTCCTGAACTGTGGGCCCCAGAACTGGACAAAATACTCCAACTGAGGCCTAATCAACGCAGAGGAGAGCGGAAGAATGATGTCTCGTGTCTCACTCACAAGATCACCAGACACTGACTTGCAGGGGAAATCAACCAAACTATCATCCCCAGAGCATGTTCCCTGGCAACGCAGTGAAGCGGCCAGGCTCAGTACAATCCAACCGCTTGAGTCTCTTGAGCTCGTACTTCCCCTGACACCCCTGTCTGTGCCATGACGTCTTATATATCCTGCACCCAAGGAAGAGCCAGCACGGGGAAGAAAGTTGATCTTGTGGTTAAGACACCAATCTAAAGAGTCAGGACTCCTGGGTTGTATCTCCAGCTCCAATGGGGTGGGCAGAATGGGCCAGGTCTACTCCTAGCTGAGGGAGGGGAGGGCTGTCTAATGGTTAGAGAAGGGAATTGCAGATCAGGAGATGTAAGTTCTATTGCTAGCTTAGGGAGGTGCTCTATGGGGAGCAGTGTGGGACACAAGGTCTAAGTTTCACAGGGGCTCAGCATCTGGGGCCCAAGCCTCGGAGCTTGTACGGGGGAAGCTGAAAACAGCCCAGGCTGGGGAAAGGAAGCGGGGCTAGGAAGCTGGTCTGTGGGTAGTTTTTTGCTAACAAGGCCAGCTCCGAGGAGGAGAGTGAAAGCAGCCATGTACTGTGCATTTGGAACAGGCCCGGGGGGGGTGCCCTTGTGCTCCTTGGTTCCCAGAATCCTCCTCACCGGAGCGATGATTTGGAGAAACCCCCCTAAAAACGGCTGAGTGTAAAAATTCCTCGATTTCCCCTCAGCAAACAGTGATGCAATCGAGGCCGGCAGGGCGGACAGGAACTGGCAGCACAGCTGGTATGGGATCGGGAAGTGGGGGTGGTGGAGCGGGAAAGTGCCTGGTACCTAGTGCAGCTGTGTGTCGGAATTTCCTTGCAATCTCTGCAGACGTGAGCAGGACCAGATTAAGGGGGGGGGGGGCTAGCCAGGCAGCTGCCCAGGGCGCCAACCTATGGGGGGTGCCTGATGGCAGCTGTAAGGGGTGCAATCAGGCACCGTGCACCCGGGGCTGGGGGCCGCGCCACACCCCTTAGAGCTGCAATCAGGCGCCGCGCACCCGATTGCAGCTGTAAGGTACGCAGTGCGCCAGGGGCCGTGCGCCCGGGGGTGGAGCTGTGCATGCGTCGCGAACCCACTGCCCGGGGCGCAGGAATGACTCGAGCTGGCCCTGGATGTGAGGTGAGGGGCACCCTGGCTTCTTAGGAAATCCCAGGGGGGGAAAAAACCCTCAGCGGTTGCCTGGGCAACAGAGCAAAGTTTCTTCTGTATGTTAAAGGGGTCGGGAGTGGGGCTGGGTTAGAGCAAACACTAAGGGTTCCTGGGTTCTGTTCCAGCCCTAGAGGGAAGTTGGGTCTAGTCACGTGGTTGAAGCGGTGTTTATACTCGAACTCAGGATTCCAGAGCTCCTGTCCTCAGAAGCAAGGGGATGGTGGGGTCTAGTGGTTAGTGTATAGCCTAGGACTCCTGGGTTCAATCCACACCATTAGGAGGACAGTGAGGTTGAGTGGTTAGAATAGGGAAATGTGACTCCTGGGTCCTACGCCTGCCTCTTTTTTGGGCTGTTTTCTAATTTACTTTCCATGCACGTGGTAGGTAAGACACTTGGCATGTCCGGTGACACCTCCCTTGCCCTGGGAAGAAGAGAGGTGACTAAGTGGGCGGGTAAGCAGGTTCTGAGGTTTCTGCCACTTAAGCATTGAGCCACTGACAGATACGGGGAAGTCCTGGCTCCCAATTCTCTTCTCAGGCCACTGCCCGGCACTCCCGCTATGCCAG